TAAAGAGAAAAATACTTGGCCAAGACAAGCTATATTTAACAGACGGAAAAAAGCAATCGCAAAGACAAAGTTATATATATATATATATATATATATATATATATATATATATATATATATATATATATATATAGAGAGAGAGAGAGAGAGAGAATGTGTGTATGAATGTGAGAATGTCATTTATTAGCGCGAATGGAGGGCTTACCCATCATAATTACGCGATCAATACCGAGTATTCTGGGGTAGTAAGTATGAATTGTGATCTCTGCAGGTAATTTATTTGCGTGAATGGAGGGGCTTATTCTCATTACCCCGAGGAACCGAGAAATGTTGAGTACGCTGGGGTAGTGTAAACGAAAGTGGGAATGTAATTTATTTGTATGAATGGAGTGTCTCGTCCCCAATTACCCCGAGGAATATCGAGGTAGTGTGAATGACTTCTCGTGTATGAATGTAATTTATTAGCAGGAATGTGGAGCTTATCTCTCCTCAATTACCCCGACGACTATCGAGGTAGTGTGAATGACTTCTCGAGGATGAATGTAATTTATTAGGAGGAATATCGAGGTAGTGTGAGTGACGTCTGGTGTATGAATGTAATTTATTAGCAGGAATGTGGAGCTTATCCCCAATCACTCCGAGGAATATCGAGCAATGTGTAAAGTGAATGCTAACCAGAGTATTATGTTTTATTTATTGTTTTTGTTATTTTGTTCACAATTGACGAATATAAATAAAATATAAACAATTTTAAGTTCAATTATAAATTATTATCGTATTACGAAAATAGAGCCTTGATGGAGGATTGATATATATATACATATCAATGCCGAAAGCTTGGCAGTAGTGCAAAACTTTTGGACCACATCCCTGATGCCAAAACAATCGCATTAAAAAGAAATCCATAATATAAAAAAACCTAGATTAGCCAAACGGGCTTAGACCTTATAATGTACAGAGTGTCTAAGAAGAAAAATTGCTTTTTCATTTAAGTTTCAGTTTGGATATTTTAATAACACTCTGAAGAGATCGCTGCAAAATTATTCAAAAAAACAGTAGAAAATATATTTTAGATCACTGATATGTTATTCTGTAAATGCAACATAAATGCCCAACAATACGCCGATTGACAAACGATAATTCTCAATGCCGTTAATTATGTTGAATATACATTTACAAAAGAAACACAAAGTTTTAAGAATTTTTGTCAAGTCAGTTCAAGCTCAACTTTTCAAAAGTTGTTTCAAAAGCTTATAAAACGTTCGAACAATCTACGTTATAATTGATGTTTTATGCACCAAGTAATCGTAGCATAGCTTTTAAAAGAATTACAACTACGCAAAGATTTTTCAATAAATGTTAAATAGCGTGCAGTACAATATAAATTATCAATATAAATGTTTCCGTAAATATAATACAAATATGGTCTGGGTTCATTGAAAAGGCAGAACTAGTCGCAAATTCGAAATATAAGCATAAATATCTCCAGAAATCTTAATCAGGAGCTGTCATGCTAAATTGATACGCGTTCTTCATACCAGTTTTAAGCATGATTAAAGATTTTGAGAACTAGTTCGCGTTATACAGACTAGGAGGCGATTATATCTCTACACCACACTCATTTGTTCCCTTTCTTTCTTTCGTTAAAGATAAATTTGTAAATTTACGATAAGTTTTCAGGAGGATGATCAAAATTTATCATATTTTCCGTAAGTCTGAGTCAGACGTGTTTGGCCCAGTGCCATCTTCAGTGGGTTATACATTCGTTTGTCAGAAATTCACCTAATGAATAACAAGTTTAAAAATATCTCGCTTAAACGACGTTTTTTAATTACTGTCCACCTGGAAGAATTATACACGAATTTTATTTTGTAGCATAAAGTTCAAATTATTTGAGGTTGAAAATTATTTAAAAAATATGCTTTTAAAATTTTGTCGAATTACGCCGTGTTGGTTGCTATACAGGGTGTCCATTTTAGACGTCTCGGCTGAATTTCTCTTGAACCAATAAAGCTATAGAAAATACGTGTTCGATATTCTTAGTCTAGTTTCAAATTGTTGTTGTGACAAAGGTTTATCCTGCTAAACTGGAATTGATAATGTTTAGCAGGAGAAGAACATTAGGTAATTTTAAAAACCCTAAATGTCAGGGCACAGAATTAAAGTTAGTGGATTCAATCAAATTCCTTGGTGTGAAGCTTGACAGGAAACTTGATTGGAAATCATATCAATAACATATACAGAAAAGTCACTATATCAGTGGTACAATGTAGGAGAAGTGTCGGTAAAACATGGGGCATCAAACCATGGGTAGCCAAATGGCTATATACTGCAATTATTTTACCTAGATTATAGTTCGCAGCTTTAGTATGGTGGAGGTCTAGAAAATAAAAGGAACAGTAAGAAATTAAGGTCATTTCAAAGACTTGGTTGTTTGATGATGACAGGAGCATTTTCAACTACACCCACCAAGCACTTGAAATCATAACCAGTACTACACCTCTTCACATTGAGGTCAAGATGAGAGCACTAATCAGCTGCTACAGATTAATTAGCGAAGGCAGCTGGAATCATAAGTGCAATAACATAGGTCACTCGAAAATCTCACAAAGTGCAATAACATAGGTCACTCGAAAATCTCACAACTATTGAGTAGACTAACGGCCAAATATTAAGCGTTAGTGATAAAAAGGTTAAAACCCCTTCGGAGGAAAAGCACTTTCACTCCTTGTGATTATAATTATGAATGACCATCGTAACATATACTGCTATACAGATGGTTCATTTATCCAAGGTAAAGGGAGTGGTGCAGGAATCTACATACCAAAATTAGGAATCAGCATCTCCTCCCCTCTTGGCAATAACACCTCCGTTTTTCAGGCGGAAATCTGGGCCATCAATGTGTGTTGTAGAACACTTATGGAAAATAAAATTAAGGGAAAAGATATTAGAAGTTTTTCTGACAGTCAGGCTAGTCTTAGGTCACTACAAAAAGATTTGTCTACCTCACGACTGGTGGAGGAAATCTTATCTTATCAATAGGATCTCTTCCAGGTTTGACAAGAAAGTAACCCTTATTTGGATACCAACACATAAAGAACACCATGGTAATGAAAAGGCTGATAACCAGGCCAAAGAAGGCTCTAATACTGCGTTTGTCGAGCCACAACCAGTATTACCACACTCTATGAGCACAGCGAAAAAGAGAATCAACACTGGGGCATGAAACAATTCCTTAAGGGGTGGAATTTATCTACCGGACACCGGCAATCGAAAGAGTTTGTTAAGGCGATCAAACCACCAGAATCGAAATTGCCATTCTCTATTTCAAGGAAGGGAATTAGGAGGCTGATAGGTGTTCTGACGGGCCACTGCCCACTGAGAAGACATCTCTCCGTGATGGGTATTCTACCAGATCCTTTTTGCTGTTTTTGCGAGATAAAAGAAGAAACGGCACGGCACTACCTCTCAGAGTGTGACAGGTGTGCTAGGTCTAGATTTGAAATCTTTGAAGGAGAGAACATCACCAAATCACTCCCCGAGATTAAATGGTCCAAAATCTTGAGGTTTGTGAACAGGTCCAAGAGATTTATGCAGGATTCATGAGCCGACCAAGTCTCGGACCTTTTAGGGATGAGGTACGAGTCTACCCATGCATTTACCCCTCGGGTCTTGGTCGCCCACCCTACATAACAGTCTAGTTTCAAATTTTACCTTAGTGGTGAAAAATTATGCAGGGTAACTCAAGCCCGGTTCGACATCAAAATTTTAATTACGACTCAATTTTAAAATGGTTCAAAAATGGCTAAACGTTTGTCGTCAAGATGTACAGGGTCGTATTTGAAATTTTGATGTTGAACTGGGCCTGAGGTACCCTGTATGATTTGTCTACAAAAAAGGTAAAAATTTGAAAATAGACTTAAAAATATTAAACATGTATTTTTTTATAACGTTATTGGTTCAAGAGAATTCCAGCCGGGCCACCCTGTATAATATATTTCTATAAGAAAATACACAAAATAACAAAATTATTTGTTGGCAGTAGATTCGTTTTTTTAATTAAATTAATAGTCCGATTAATGTTTGATGCAGTTATAAAATGCACTTGACAATTTCTTTAAAACGAATTATCAACTATAAAATTCGGTCCATTAGATTTTGAGAAAAATTATGTTAGAGCTTGCACTAGGAATGTCAGTTAGTCAGGTCGCCGAAATTTTCAGTCAAAAAATTAATTTGCACCGATTTCTGCGCAAGTCGTTATCGAAGGGTTTTATCACAAATCATGAAGCGCCAACACAAGCCACAGAACTTTAAACAGTAAGGGTTGCAGCATCAAACATTCACGTTACATCTGTGGCACAAAGAAAACGCGGCTCGAGTGGAAAGAAAGGTGGAAACAAATTTAAAACGGTTCTCAAACCGAAAAATTCATCTCCACAATAGAAATCGAGGATAACCCATCATTGGTCCACCGTTACAAGTTGATGCTCAGCGGATGCAACCTGTAACTGCTTAGAAGGACAGTCTTGGAACCTCATCTTGCTTGATTTCCCAAATCTGGATGTGATATAGGCAAAAGTGAAACAGGCAGTTCTCAGGCAAGGTGGCATTACAAAACTTAAAAAAACGTGCATGCATTTGTAATTAATATTTTTTTGAAATTGTAAAACTGTTACTTGTTAATTAATAACTGCTAAAAAAGCAGCCTTAGGAGAAGTATGGTTGGAAGACATATATATGCTGACAGAGCTGCAGTTTGTTTTGAAAGAAATGGTTGGACATGGTGACAAGTTCAATGAGTGAACATCATCCGAACAAAAGACAAAATTGTTTGTATGCACTGCATAAAAACGTAGAGTATGAGCCGTAAAGTTCAAATACCAAATAATATTGTTAGCAGTTTAAAATAAACGAGTTGAACAAGTGCAGAACCACTGGTATACCTGACATATGTACTGACAGAGCATACAATGTGAAAACTTAATCTTAACACGTACCACTCGCAAATGAAAGCATTATGTGCTTGCTGGACAAAATTAACATATAAAATCGTTGTTAGAAGTAAATCGTAGTTACCTGTGAGAGTAGGATGGCGTGGTCCGAATTTGTCCTGGATGTGAGTCGGAAGGATCCCCGCTCCCAGTTGGAGCCCGTGGGAGAGGAGGTGGACGGTGACGGAAGAGGCGAGGACAAGCCACCCCCAGCCGCCCTCTGGGTAGTAGTGCTGCCTGAGGGTGATGAGCTGCCTCAGTTCAGCCACAGCCACAAGGCCTTCGCCCTTGCCCTGTCCGGCCAGAGCCTTCTCTCCACCGGCTCCTCCTTCGCTGAAGCTTCCCACCCCAGAGTCACAGCCCAGGTAGTGAGGGAGAGACCGAGATCGGTACAGCCCCGGTACAACCACACCGCTAAACAAAATTCAAACCATTTACATTTTAGCATTATGTATCTGTACATGTTTTTTTATCATTAAAACCCTAACTTTCCAGATATACATAACCATTAAAGTACAACCTTAAAATTTACTAATGTTTCAGTTTGCTCGTCTCAGACAAACACACTAGGGTTTGATTACCTGGTTGGCCGGTGAGACTAAACTTAAGTAATTAAGGTTTTTAGTTGAAATAAGAAAGGCAGTGTCTCGAGCGGGATTCGAACCCACGATCTTCGGCTAAATACGGCGCTACTCTACCAATCGGACGCTATCGTGACCTCGATCCACTCGGACACCAACTTCCCATCTCAACCCCACCTTTTGAATTTTCTCACAGTTTTAGTGAAGGTATACTTCATTTTTACTTATTAAATTCACCGGTTTTCGTGGTCCGTTTGACCAATTAATATCTTTCAATTAATTAAGGTTTTTAGTTGAGATAAAAAAGTTAGTGTGGAAAATGGCAAAAAGTTGGGAAAATTCAAAAGGTGGGGTTGAGATGGGAAGCTAGTCCGAGTGGATCGAGGTCACGGTAGCTCGAGTGGTAGAGCAGCGGCGTATCTAGCCGTAGATCGTGGTTCGAATCCCGCTCGTGACACTGACTTTTTATCTCAACTAAAAACCTTAATTAATTGAAAGATATTACTGGCTCAAGCGGACCACGAAAACTAGTGAACTAAACTTAAGGTTCATCACTATCTAAATAGTATGTAAAAATTCAATAAAACCTATTTCTGTACATTTGGCCTTCCCTCTGCAGACTTCAGTCTAAACTGTAAGCTTTGGAGGAATAATTCTCGTTTGAAGGTTTTTTTTATACATCTACTTTGAACAAACTCAAAAACTACTGAAACTACGTTTTCAAACAGTTACGTGAACACAATAACTAATAATTTATACTAAGTCCTAATAAAATTGTGTAATTTGGTTAATGAAATACAATAATACTGATTTAAAATCTAGAAATTGATTAGCCGAAAACAAAAGAAATAGTGCTGTCAGCTTTTACAAAATATTACTAGATGTTTTCCGGAAAAAACATGATCAAATTTCTGCAACGAAAGAAACTTAGATTATTAATTTATTATTTTCTATTGGCATGCCATTCATTCAAGTAGAGGTGGAAAACTCGGCATTCCTCCATAATATACATTATCGTATAACTGTTCTAATTAAAAACCGATGGGATTTCACCATCGTGCTTCTCATAAAGAACCACTCCCTTACGCCAATAAATACACTAAATCTCAGGGAAAAAATACAAAACTGAATATAGATGAACATATTCATCAAGCACTATATAGAATAAAACAGTCCTGTTTCTTCGAAAAATCAGATTAGGGGACTGTTTTTACGCAGCGCAGCGATATACGGCTTTGGTGAAATTCACGTTTTGCTTAAATTATTTCACACAAAAATTCTCACATCTACACGGAAAACACACACTTTGAGTGAGTACAATTACTTTCATTAAACCTAAAATTTCTATGTTGTGTGCATCATTGTATAAACTCATAATCATATCTTATATGCATTTGTATAATTTAAACAATGTTTATAAATTCCAGGTCCTGAAAATGATGTCAATAAAGATCGAAACTTTGACACTAAAAAGAAAATGTTTTTCTAAACCTACATCACACAGACTGCATCTCACAAGCTCTAAATAATCATTATCCGAAGATTTGAACAAAAGCTACAAAAAAAATGAAACGATTAAACATCCATCTCATTCGACGACAATGACAACATCAATCTCATTCTCATTTTTCAGAACAAGCTGTTTTTGAGTAATGAGCTTAAAATAGCATCCATGAGCTAAGATCGATATTAGGGTTGGTATTAGATAACCACGTTTTTGGAAGACTGTCAAGAAAAACGAGCATTTTCGGAAAATAAGTGTTTTTACGCAGCGACACACTGTTTAAGTAAATCTAAGCCATACGCCAATCGCTGTCGAGCTCTAAGATAATTCTCATGTCAGCTATTCCTACTCTCTTGTATTTACGTGCCAGACATAAACGTGTACTATAAATACATATAGGTGAGCTTTGGCCCAAAAGTAAGTTTTCGTGTGCCAACCTCGCAAGGACTTCTGGTCTTCCGGGCTCTTGATAGTGAGGGCTTCTCTGACGATCCGACACACAGATGTTTACATTTATTTATAATCGTGTTTTTAATTTCATTTTTAGCATCATAAGACCAAATCGCGGTGGTCTCGTCAGCAGGTTGGGACGACCTGGATATTTGACGGAATTTGGAAAACATAATATTTCATTTATTTTGGATTTATATGAACTCAAATCCGCATATGTGTATATATATATACATAAGTGCAGAGTTGCGCTTATTCGCTTCTCGCAGTCCACCAGGAATTCCAGTTTTTTGCAATTTACTATAAGTTGCCAGTAGTTCTCACCCACCCCGGGTGTTGGAAGTCCCCGAGCATCTTAACCGTCCAACCACCGGGGTTGGGCTCCGGTTGGTGTCAAAATCTAGGTCAATTCAGCGCCCAACGCATGCAGTTCCAAACCCATTGATACTCACGTTTATTCTTAAATACGTTCTCTCCTATTTACATACCATTCATTCAATTAGGGTGGTGGATTACTCGATATTCCTCCATCACCATTAATATTGAAAACCCCATCGAGCCTCAATTAGGTTATTTATGTAATAGGAAAGGGTGATGGAGGAATATCGAGTATTCCACTACTCTAACTTAGCGAATAGTGTGTAAAGTTCTCAATACCTCTCATACTGCACATTTACGCTAATAAATACATTCACTCTCAGAACAACCTAGGTTCACACGACTATACGCGACAAAATAATCATTTACTTTATAACTAACTAAATTGAGAGTCAATCGGTTATTTTGCCAACGGCCTTTTCACATTCACATTCATGCTAATAAATACATTTTTTCTCCACACTTACTAGCGATACAATACTTTATATAATAAAACAACTTGGGTTTTCTCCAAGAATCGGTACAGGAGATCCACATAAGCGTTACCGCGTTCAAGCACCATTCTTAAATCCGGTGGCATTCCTACACAGTTTCGATATGGAGCCAAGGAATTGCACCCTTCAATTAGGTGGGATTTATCGAGTGAACTTTTTCTGCATACCGGACACATAAGCGGGATTTGGCCCGAAAGTAAGACCTGTGTGTCAACCTCGCATGGCCGATCCTTATTCGGGTGAGGATGACCCTTCTTCTACGAGTCAGATCGTCCGAGGGCCACCCATCGACAGTGCTCTTGGTACGTGAGAGCATGTATTTCTTTTGTGTTGATATTTTGTGTGTTTTCGGATGCATATATAATATGTTTTGTATTTTTATTACTTTGTTCACTGTTGCTTATTTTTCCGTCTTTTCATTTTATTGTGGGTTTTCTAATGTATTATTAAGTAAAGTAATTCTTCTCACACAGGAGGGTTTTATGTTCAACTACCTCGGACGAAGGGTCAGACCACTTTACAATACATTTTTTCCTGCTATAATCAATTAAAAAACCATGGGCTCTGCCGGGATTCGAACCCAGAACCGCTAACGTGGCGAATATGAGTTAGGCGCGAATTATTATCAGGCGAATTTTTATTTTTCCAATTCGGATTTTTAATATTCATGCTGTACGTTGTACTTTGTGTTTTGTTGGTTTTATTTGTTACGATTACTTTGTTTTATAATTTTTCTTTATCTCGTAGTTCGTGTTAAATTTTAGAACACTGTTCCAACACTTTTTGTTGGGCAGACTCGTCATCATAAAATATAATTTAAGATGATTGACGTGATTGGGGGTTTGTAAGCACTTGATCGAAGTGAAAGATTCCGGTATTCGTATGCATTCTCACAATCAGATAGTACTAGATATTATTCAAGATACGCTAGCGAGAATCAAATAAATCACCACGAAGTCTGTGATTACACATTGATTGATCGGCGTTTGTAGATCGTCTACCTCTTGCCATTTTCGTTTCCAGTCAAACTGTCCTAGATATTCTTGCGGTAGGAAACAAAAATAAATCACCCGATCGCCTGTTATTACACCCTGATGGATTGGCGATTGTAAAGTATCTCGTCTCGCTTTTTACAGATGTAAAACGTGCTGGCGGATAAGCAGATAAATAACCCTTTATGATCTTACTCCTAATTAGACAATTTTGAAAGATTTAGATGGTTGGTTGATAACGAATCATACTGTATTGAGAATAAACACACCCGCCAAAAAAATATACAATCTCAATTGAAAATTTACGATCATTACTTCAATGTGTGTTTTATATATATAATATGATGATTATATATATATATAATCATATATATATATATATGATTTTATGCCATATAGATAATGTTAATGTTGCAAAGAAAGAACATTCCAACAGGAAAGAATGATGTCGGTGATCATTATATACCCGTTACGGCGTAAAGTACGATAAATTTTATCGCTCACTTTACACCCAGTTATCGATTTTCCTTTTCAATTATCTTCGAGGTCGTATATCCTTAAAGACATCCGACCTTAATGCTATTTAACGACCATTGAAAACAAACGTAAAACCAACTGCAGTCCCTCTTTTTCGCTTGATAGAACTAAGTAAATAAATAGCTTTTGGTAGTCGTGAAACATTTTTTTCCCTCCTCCTGTTACTGCACATGACAAGTTCTTAGGGATTTGAATGATAAAATCTCAAAATCTCCCTCTCAGATTCTTACCTTTCACCCAGTCCATTGACACGTTCCGGTGAAACGAGCTTCAGAGATATCGAGATAAAAGTCAAAGTAGAACCTTTGATATTTCCGACTTGTAAAAATCCAATAAAAAGAAATCAAGTGCCTAAAGATCGCACAAGAAGGAATCGCGTTTTAAAATTGACCCTGATGAGTTAAATGACAATAGGCATATGAACTTAGTCTGTATTCTGCCGGTTTTCTCTGGAATTCTGAATTTGAATAATTTCGCA